AAAACTTCTGTAAAAAATTGCAAATATAGATGTGTTAGCTGAAGTTCTCGGGTTTGGGATCCCAATAATATGACCTCAGTCATTTGTAGTGATGCTATGCATGTAAATGTTTGTGATGGATTTTCTAGTGTGGGAGAATTTGTGATCTTATTTGTGGGAGAAAATGGGAAGAGTTACCCCCTAGCACGAGAGCAAAGAAAATAAAACTGAAACTCTGGATCTTATTGATGCTGTTGACATGGCATTTTATTTAGATCTAGACATAGATCTCCAAGGAAATGCTACATATAAAGGAGGCTGAAAGAATAATGCCTGTAGAATATTACATAGAAGATCGGTCTTTGTGGGATAACTTGCATTGTGTGGAAAGTGTACGTGACAAAAGGCTTAGGATACATTGAGCTAGTTTAAAGCAGATGCTGGAGAGGAAAGAAATCTGTTTAAAGTAGGTACTAGGCATCACTAAACAAAATGCCTCTAGAAACATTATTGAAGGCTCCACAGAGGGGATTTCCCATTGTTTAATATTGGCAATTTTTAAAAATAGTAATATACCTTGTATAAATAGTCCATTTCTCTTTTTAAAAGGACTATCCGAGTGGAAATGTAGGTCCTTTTTTAAGGCTTGAACACATCTGCTCCAGAGATGATGGTAATTGGACTTCCTTTTCTACATCAAATCAGTTGTAAGTACAATGTCCTGAGGTGTGCCATAGCATCTCTGAACAGGAGAAATGAAGAACTAGGTCTCTTGAGGCACAGTAGTAGTGTCCTAGGTTTAAGTCACGCCTACACCAGTGGTGTGTAAAAACATCTGTGTACAGGTTGATTCGAAAACAAAAAGAGATGAAGCTCTCGTAGCACCATGGTAATGTCCCTAACTCTGAACCAGAATGCTCAAGTTCAAGTCCCAACTACTCCAGAGACCTAGTAACTCTTCAGAATCAGTCTCATTCTTGGACACCGGCATCTCCAGCAAGGATGGACACCTCAATACTTCACTCTACCGCAAGCCCAGGGATAATCTCATGATGCTGTACTTCTCTAGCTTCCACCCTAAACATTTTTAAAAAAAAAAAAAAAAAAGGTTATCCCCTATGGAGAAGCCCTGCGCGTACACAGGATCTGCTCAGATGAGGAGGAATGCGGTGGACACCTGAAGATGTTGATGGATGCTCTCTCAAGACCTGGATACATTGATTGCCAGTTCTGACGTGCCACCGAAGACACACAGGATATGACCGATAGAGTACCCTTCGTTGTCTAGTACTTTCCCAGAGTGGAAAACTATGCCATGTTCTTTGTGGCCTTCAACATGTCATTGATGATGATGAGCATCTCACCAAGATCTTTCCTATGCCTCCGCTTCTCGCCTTCAAATAACCGCCAAACCTTAAACAGACCATTGTTCACAGCAAGTTACCCAGCCTTCAGGACGACATCTACCACAACACCATACAACCATGCTATGGCAACCTCTGCAAGACATGTCAAATCATCGTCATGGATACTGCCATCACACATGGGAACACCACCAACCACGTACATGGCAGATTCTCGTGTGACTCGGCCAATGTTGTCTATCTCATGCGCTACAGACTAGGATGTTCTGAGGCATGGTATATTGGCAAGGCCATGCAGAAGCAATGAAAACGGATGAATAGACACTGCGCAACATCCTCCAGACAGGAGTATCCCACCCAGTTGGGGAACGCTACAGTGGTCAAGGGCATTCAGCCTCCGCTCTTCGGGTAAACGTCCTCCACCGTGGCCTGAGACAGAGACAACAACACAGAATTGCCGAGCAGAGACTGATTGCCAAGTTCTGTACCCATGAAGATGGCCTCAACCATGATCTTGGGTTCATGTCACACTACAGGTGACCCCACGACACTTCTGTATCTTAAAATCTTCCCTGTCCTGTTTTGACAGGCTTGTGCTGTCGCTCGCGCGCTCTCCCTTCCTTCCTCGCTCGTCTCACGCATCTTGGGACAAATCATTTATATTTACAGATACCTTCTATTTTGTTCAAAAAACACAATTTGTAGTCTCAGTCAGTGTGGCATTTTATAAATTCCTGCTTTCTGAATAAAACCAGCCTGATTTGAGGGTAGAACTCCGATCCTGAACGAGGCCTCGTGCCTACAATTTACTGTCAGCCCGAGATGTCACCTTTTTTTGTATGTCTACCTGATTGACGTTTGACAAGTTAGGCAGACACCAGTAACACCTTTACTTTACTCAGGGCAGTGACTTGAAATGGATTCTGGAATTTGCATCTTAACCGATGAAACTTGCGTCTTCTTTCTGACAGAGTTCTCCGTCAGCCATTTTATGTTCATTCACTCCATCACACCAGTTGTATGATCCTTTGGTCTCTCTCTGCCTATAAACTGTGTCTATGTGCCCTCTCTCACTGCACCTGATGAAGGAGCGCTGCTGTGAAAGCTGTGATTTCAAATAAGACCTGTTGGACTATAACCTGATATCGTGTGATTGATTTAAAAAAAATTGTCCACCCCAGTCTAACACTGGCATCTCCACGTACTGGTAACATCTCTGAAATGTTGATTCGAAAATATCTAGACTGAGACTACAAAGAGAGCCTGGATAGTTGGTCCTTTGCTGTTCCTAATTCAAAACTGGGACCTACCAAAGTAGGGGCAGAAGAATAAAGAGCTGAGATCTTTTAGGAGCTCTTGGGGTGAGTGAGTATGTTCCACCCTGTAGACCAGGAGGCCTGAGCTCCACCTGAATGTTTTGATTCTTGTTAATGTCAGTGTTTCTGATTTGTTAATGAGTGCTTTGGTTGATTGGGTGACATTTTTTTTGTAAATAAACCCTAAAAGCTGTGATCTTCCTCAAAGGGATGTTGGCTACTGGACAGGAAAGGGTCGATGAATAAAAAGTCCTTTGCTGCCAAATGGATATGTGTATGAAACAATGAGCAAGGAATCACGTCTGTAGACATGGCAGCTCTGATCAGATTGCGTCTCCCTCAGCTTCTGGAAATTTGCAGTGCATGAGCATGGTAACGGCTCCGTTGTGGAACTTCCAGAGGTCTTTGTTTGTGAATACTCGTTGTCGTAATTTGTTGAAGGCTGAACTGATCCAGTATTAGATCTGCTCATCCATAGGGTCTTTTGAAAGAGAGGTTGTTGACAAAGTATGGAAATACTCAATGTATTCTAAGCACCTCTTTCAGCATGTTTGAGAGATGGAATATTTTGCTGACCAAGTAAACGTTAATGCGAGTTTCATTTTAGCAGTGTGTAAAGGCAGACCAAAATACTGACAGTGCAGGGTAGTTGATCTTAGAGATGAATAGTCACTGACTTGTTAAGTTCAGAACAGCTGTCATCCATTCCATCTGGCACTTTGGAAATTGTGCAGGTGTATTCTCTCCGCAGGATACAGGTCAAAATCATTACTACAAATTACTAATCCACCCATAAAATTTTGAACAGTTTCGGGTGAAGGTAGTGGGATGTTCACTTGTGAAAATTTACAGATTCCCATCTGTAATTCTGCCCAATGTCGACTTTCCTGCGCCTCTGCTGCCTGACCTGTTGTGTTCCTCCCAGCTCCACACAGTATTGACTCTGACTCTAGCATCTGCAGTTCTTTTTATCTCCAAGTAGCCAAAGGTCTGTCCATTTTCGATACTAAATATCATCAATGATGGAGGATGTACAACCTTCAGTGATAGAGAATTCCATAATCATTTGAAGAGATTGCTCCCCAACTTGGGTGTAACTAATTAATAACCTTGCTGAAAGAGGTTAAACATAATTATAAGCACCTCTTTCCTGTTCTGCAGCCAGGGTGAATCTCCATGATTCTAGTGTTAAGCCCTTGCTGATGTTTCATTTTTTAGAAATTTATTTCAATAATTTTGGAGGTGTGACTTGGGAAATTAGACCTAAGATGATTTTTGGACTTATGTTAAAACAAAGTTTTTTTTTTTTTTTTTTTTTTTTTTTTTTTTGTTTATTTGTGAGGCCAGGCCACGAAGTTAGTAGATTGAATCTTAATTGAGAGGTACTGCAAATTCTTCATTACCAGGGCGAGCATTGTTGAAACAGATAACAAGTTCGCTGTTGGTGGGTCCGTACCTGGGAATTAATTCCAGCTAAACCTGGAAAAGAACTTGTATTCAAGCAGATGGCAAATGTTGAATAGTAACTGGTACCTTGTGCGAGAGAATGTCAGTCTGTCACGGAGTGGTCAGAGTTTGAATTGGGGTTTGAACAGTGTTTTCTGTGCAAAAGGAAACTGGTTATTGATGCTACGGCATTAATATTTCAAAGACTCCTGCCTAACCTCCCATGAGTGGCTCGTGGAAGCTCAGAAAATAGAAATCTAAGTTATAAGTATCTCAGCTTTTATCTGAATGAATTCTAAAGCTGACCCTGATTGACACCTTCAGAAAATCCACCAAGAAACCATCATGACCTGTGCAGCAATGCCTCATGAAAACTAAAGTAATCTGGCCAGTTTTATTATTTTATTCATCTCTTAATTGTGTTTGTCCATTTGTCTTTTGTGTGAATGGGGCTGAAAAAGGTTTTTGAGTTTATAGTGTAGACCAATTAGATTATTTTATTTAAATTTACTCTGCTAAAGTTATTGTATTGTTAATAAATTACAAAGACTCTTGTTTAAGCTACAGACGAGTGACAATTGATTTTTCACAAAGTCTGGCATTGTTTATTCAAAAAACTCTGATTAGGAACAAGGGACATCAATTTTGAGGGTCTTGGAAGGTTTAATTTTAGTGTGCTACGAATACAGAGGTAGAAAGGTTGATTGGGTTGGTTGTCTGTTTCCATGTTGTAACATAAGTACTTTGAATTTGACTGCCTTGTTATTCATACTGTTAATAGTATTCATTTTGGTATGGTCTTAAACTAAATTCCAATTTCCTGCATAATAATGTAACATGCTCATTTGTAATTTGACTTTATTAGTTGCATTTAACAATTTTTATTTCTTTTTAGGTTGGTATAGAGGGTATACACATCGTCGCAAAGCTAAAAAGGTGAGTAATTTAAAGTTTATATAAATGCATTTATTACAGGATTTAGGTATCTGTTTCTTTGGGCATAATGAGAATTGTTGAATAAATGTGCTATACAAACAAATAGAGGTAAATTATCTATCTGGTCACGTGTTACTGCTAAGCATCCTTCAGTTATTTGTACTGTATTTGAAGATAATGTTCTCTGAACAAAATCTGTGAAATTTGCATTTAAATGAATGGGTATTGTCTGCTTCCATTATTCCCCCCAGGGAGCCTTTTTAGATTTATCACTTACCAACTGGAATGATTTCAGTTCAATTTTGATGGCAGTTCTGCTTGGTTAAGGATACTGTTTTTCAAAAGAATGCATTCCACAACATCAATGATCTATTATATTTCCAAATTTTATGCCCTAATAGCATTCTCTGTAATTACAATAAAGCAGTGGCTCTAATGCTGAATATACTGAATTGCAGAAAATGGGTTTTGATTTTGGGCTGGCTGCTTGATCCCTTGGGTTGGAGGCTGCATTTGTTGGTTTTGAGGTCTGAACTTATTTAGTGTGTTGGTGATCTGGGTTTTACTGCAAGTTGCTGATGCTTCATTGGGCTGTCAGGAGGTAGCATTTATGGTAGAAGTGTGGGGCCTGATGAAGCAAGTGGCTAGATGACTGTCAATGTTATGAAGCTGGTGCTTCTCCTGATGGGACACGTTGAGGTTCTTTTTGACCACTGGCAAAGTGGTCCATGGCAGAGACTTCATTAGTAGGTTGTTAAGTTGTATTGGGGAACTGGGTGCTATATAGGTCATAGAATCCAAACTTTACATGAATTAGTTAGGTTCCTACCCGACTCGGGGTGACTTGATTGCTCAATTCACAACACAGAATTCTGAAAGGACAGGCGCAGGCTGACAACTCTGCTTTCACAATATTAAAGGATTTGAAATTGGCCTATTGCTCTTCAAAACAATGACAAGAGAAAATCCAGCATCATTTGTAAGAAAATGTTATTTGCCTTGTTTAAATTTGTGACCTGATCACGGTGAATGGGATGCAAAAATGCCTGGGTCTAAATGTTCTTGTATTTTAAAGTTAAGTATGAACTAAAAATTGTAGCAGCTAAGAATTGTTACAGCTAAAAGTCTCTCACCACACCAGTGAACCGATCTGGGCACCTCGCATATCGAAGACTGGAGTGCAGTGTTAATTACTAAAATGTTACTTGAACCCCTATTATATTCTGTGGATTTTGAACCGTTAAGGGATGGTTTGATCAAAGTTTTCTGAATATAGGTTTCAAATTTGCTTCAATTTAGCAATGTTATACTAGGACCAGTAAATGGTTGAAGGTTCTGTTGGTTTTGAAGAGCTGTTACAGAATTGCTCAGCAGACAGATTACTTCCTGAGGTTCGGCAGCTATCGTTACAGGAAAGCACAGCTATATACCTTCATACTATATGCTGCATGTTAGACTGACAATTGTTGGTCACACGTTCTACACCTTGGTTACTTGCTAATTAGCATGTTCTTCCTTGAACTGATATCAGAATAAAAAAGGGGAACAGAAAGGGTCCATGGGTAAAAATTATTTCTGCTATCTGGGGAGTGTGGACAGCCTAAAAATTAGAGCAGGGCCTTTCAGAAGTGAAATTCAGAAGCAGTCCAAAACATGACCTAAAAACAACAATTAATGATAGAAGGTAATTTTAAATCTGAAAGTAATGCATTTCACTTGACCAAAAATATTCTGAAGTATCCTTCACTAAATTCAGAACTCAATTTTTTTTCAGCTTTTGATGAAGGAAAAACTTAGTAGTAACTAATCTATCTCCATTGATTCTACCTCAAATACTTAACAATATATTTCAGTCTTTTTGTGCATGTACAAGCCTCTTAACAACATCTTCACTTTGTCAGCAGCAAGCTGTGACTCAGAATTTAGCAAGGATATAAAATATTACCTAGGTGCTAAGGATTGAATCTCAACCTCTTAGTTGTCTGTAAGAGAGCTGCACATTAAATGGTGCAGTGCACCATTACTCAGGCATCTTAATCTCATAAAGGTAATCACTAAATATTTAGGAAATCTCTTTAGTTTTTACCTATAGCGTGTGGCTTAGTTTTGCACAGAATAGAGAAAACAAAGAAATTATTTAGTTGGCATAAATTTCCTTTTTTGATCATTAAGTCACAATTTGTCATTTTAAGTCTTGGGTAGACTCATGGTAAAAGAAATATCACTACAAGAGTTACCTGAATGAATGATTTACATGAGATACTCAAATTCAAAGTGGCTTTCCCATATGTTACTTGGAACACCAATGTTCAAATAACATAGATTTGTTAATGACAACGGTGCTGCAACAGCATGGAATTTCAACAAATCCGATATCAGAACACTTCCCACAATTTTAAAATACCGATGAACAAAATATTGCAAAAAATGGAAGAAATTAGAGTGTTTGAATTAAGTTTTGATTTTGGCTAGTAAATCATGAACCACGGTGAATTTTATTTTTCTGGTAACTGAAATTTTACAAAAGCAAGCACGCCTGTATTTATAAATACAGTACATTTCTAGGTTTGTGATGGGAGCAGTCAAGAAAATGCCTTTTTACTAGTTTACACTAACTTATAGTTGTTGAGGTTTATTTCTTTTACTCATTTTTGAGAGACCACATTTTATTATCATCTGAATAATATCTAATTTATACTATTGTCTGGAGAGAGTAGTTTGTTGTAATGCAGTTACCCTGTTGAGTTCAGTGACATATGAAATGGTCCCATTGCAGTTTTGAAACATTGATGGCATTTGATTAAATTGAAAACCTTTGCAGAAATGAATACATTTGTGTATGAAATAGGACAGTTTTGTACATCAATTTGTTAACAGTATAATGTTTTCTTCTGTGATTTCATTGGTTATGTATATTCTATGCACCAATGTTGGAAAAATTCTGATGTAATTTTCTGATTTTAGAAAATACTAAAACTGTCAGTTTTGATGACCAAATGCTGCTTTTCCAATTAAATATTGTTTTATTATAGGGTATTTTTCCTGCTTCGTATATTCAGCTGAAGGAAGCAACAGTTGAAGGCAAAGGGTGAGCTATGGAATTCAAATTATATTTTTGTATCTTTTAGAATTGTCTTGCGTTTTAATAAGAAACTTGCACCTAATTTCTACAGGTGTAGCAATATCAACTAATGTCTTCCAGACTACAAAAAAAAAACGAGGTAGTTGAACGTGTATGTTTTGTGAATAAACAATTGTATCGGTATACAAGTTGAGTGGAACTTGTATGTATCAGTCAATCCACAATAATGAACGAGATATAAAATACTTGTTAAAAGAATGTTGGTATATATTACAAATTATTAATTTTTTTGGAAAACTGCTGTAAATTTAGGGTATTTGCAATAAAGTAATAGGAGGTGTATGTGGTACTTTTAACACTCACCTTCAGATATACTGACAATTGTATGAGCACATTCAGTAGCTGCATGAAAGTTGAAGACCAGTTAATTGCATTATTTTGGGTATTCTGTTGTGGGAAGTACATTGCAACTATGAGCGCATTCAACCTAGATTCACTGGGTTGATACTAGAAATGCAGAATTAAATATAGCATGTACAAGATGCTATTTTGACAGAAGAAGACTTGAGAAAAAGAAGTGATTTTAATTGAGAACAATTAAGAGTTATGATAGAATAAATTGGAAAATATTGGGATAACACTAGAATGGACAAATAGCATTGGGTGTTTATGCAGACTGTTAGGACATGGAAAGTCAGAGAGTGGTGTGATGCAAGCTATGGGGAGAAGCTAGGACATTACTTGAAACATAATAGTGAGATTAATTTTGGATTTGTAGTAAGGAGCAAGGGAAGACACATTGTTTTACCATTAATATCTATGTAGTAACAGCTCTAAAACTTTATTATTTATTGGATGACTATCAAGGATATTGAAAGCATGCTGATCCTTTTCTCTATAATTCATGTTCAGCAGTTAAAAGATCATAGTTGGATTCTGATTTAACGGAAACAACATAGGAGGAATTTGGTGACAGCATTAGCATGCTGTCATTTGAAAGAACAGTACAGCGCAGGAACAGGCCCTTTGGCCCACCAAGACTATGCCGACACATGATGTCTTTCTAAATTGAAACCATTTGCAACTATGCGGCCTGTGATCCTGTATTCTCTGCGTGTTTCTATATCTGTCGAGATACCTCTTAAACATTGCTATCGTAGCTGCCTCCACCACCACCGCTGGCAGTGCATCCTGGACACTTCCCCACCCCCCCGGGTGATTAAAAACTTGCCCCTCACGTTTCCTTTAAACTTACCCACTTGTGCCTTAAACTTATGTCTCCTAGTAATTTGAGGTTTCTATCCTGGGAAAAAGATGCTGACTATCCATTCTATCCATGTCTCTTGTGATTTTGTGAACTTCTATCAGGTCACCTCTCATCCTTTTGATGTTGAAGTGAAAACATATCTTTGCTCTTCTCATTGCTAATAACCATCTAATCCAGGCAACATGCTGGTAAGCTATTCCTGTACCCTTTCCAAAGCCGCTTCATCCTTCTGGTAGTGTGGTGACTAGGAACTGTACACAATTCCAAATGTGGCTTAACAAAATTTCTGTACAGCTGCAACGTGACCTGCCAATTATTATATTTTGTGCCCTGACCAATGAAGTCAAGCATGCCATATGCCTTCTCGACTACCATATCCACTTGTGTTGCCACTTTCAGGGAACTGTTGACATGCACACCTAGATCCCTCTGTATGTTGATGATACAAAGGGTTCTGTTGTTTTACTGTCAACTTCCTTTCAGCATTTGATCTTCCAAAATGCATCACCTTGCTTTTATCTGCATTAAACGCCATCTGCCATTTCCCTGCCCAAGTTTCAAGCCTGTTTATGTCCTGCTGTATCTTTTGGCGATCTTCCTCATCTATAGCTGCCCCAATTTGTTTGTCATCCGTAAACTAACTAATCAGGCCGCCTTTATGTGTGTATAGACCTTGTCAAAGTCCACATAGACAACATCCACCACCCTGTCCTCATCACTCATCTTTGTCATTTCCTAAAAAAGATCAAATCAAGTTTGAGACATGACCTTCCCAGCACAAAACCATGCTGCCAATGCCAATTAGTCCACATTTTTCCTTCCCTAGCAATTTCCCCGCCACTGACAAGTTCGTTGTGGAACGTGAAATTAATCCTGTTCATATTTGCTTGCTTGAAAATTTTTGCCAGTTGTAAGGACTATTTTAAATAATTTTATGTAGTTTCAGCTCATCAGATCCACAGAATTGTTATTTATGTCATGGTCTCCTTTTAAGCTATCTCAGTTGCTGTTATAAAGAATGAAAAATGTCAGATCACTGCAATATTGGGTAATCCTTTGAAGTTTGTATGGATTTGAAAGGATTTCACTGCACCAGTATTTTGTGGTGTTCAAGAATTTAAGTTGATGGTTAGGTGACTGATATAGGTAAATATTACTTTTTTCAGTGCTAACATGTAGTTTTGAGCTCATTCATATTGAACAAGAGACCTTTTTATTCTTTGCATCCTTCAACATGAAGCAAAAATTACCACAGTCAAAAATCAAAAATTCACCCTGTAAAGTTTTGGAAAATTGCTGTTTGGTTTTATTGAAACAATATTATGTCAGAAGCTGAATTGTAATGATGTTTTTATGATCCCAGTTTTTGTTACTACTGGACAAGTCAGATCCCAGATTGAAATCTTGCCTGAGTTGATCATATTTTTAAAAAATTATGAACTTGATCGTCTGTTTTAAGCACGCAATGTTGCAATTTTGTTTAACAATAGAATTGGTATGTTACACAAAAGAAATGATAAAATAGCACAAACCAAGCTATTTACATATAATGCAGTTTGAAAGATTTTGAAACACATGGCAACGTAAAACCTCATCTATGCCCCACAATAAGTAATCAACTATCAGAGAGCACATTCCATCCTGTAAAGTATCTATAGTTTTGACAACACAGTGTGGAGCTGGAGGAACACAGCAGGCCAGGCACCATCAGAGGAGCAGGAAAGTTGATGTTTCAGATGAGGACACTTCAGAAATTCCTGTGACTCCAGCATCTGCAGTTCTTGCTATCTCTATAGTTTTGACGTAACTGTTTCAATTTCCTGTCTTGAGAGCTTGATAGCATTTTTTTCCCCTTGATTATTCGTACAGCTAAGCTGACATTAACTTCAGACAGCCGCCTTCTAATTTCTAATTTTTGTTCTGGAATTTGCAAACAAAAACCCTTACGTTGAGGTAGCTTGTTTCCTAAAAACTGAAAGAACTGTCGATGCTGTAAATCAGGAACAAAAACAAAGTTGCGGGAAAAGCTCAGCAGGTCTGGCAGCATCTGAGAAGGAAAAAACAGAGTTAACGTTTCGGGTCCGGTGACCCTTCCTTAGAACTCAGAACTAGCTTGTTTCCTAACTGTTATGAATTAACACCTTTCTCGAGGAGAAGGTCCTCTTGCATCTGGTCCCAGCTAGATTGTCTTACTGCCCAGAAGCTTTCCAATCTATTTGTTTCTCCTAAGCAAAAATCAACCGAAAGTGAGCTAATTCCTTTCAATGTTGGTTGTCTCCAATTGTCAAACTCACAATACAAATACATTCTTGTTATTACTCTAGGAGACCCCAGTCCGCTGCTCTCTGACACATACTTGTTTAAATCATGGCTCCAGAAGGATTGTGCAGTTCGTTATTAAACCCCCTCATGTATTCAGACCAAAGCCCTCAAGCCACTAGTTCAAAATCCAAACTCTATAATAAAGGATATTAATGTATATAAATCACACATCTTAATCACAATATAAATAAAACAAGTACTCCTAATCTATAATTGTTATAGGCAATTGTTAGTATAAAGTACAAAACAACAAAGATTGCTCTATTACAAAAATTTCAGCATACGTATGATTACAATGCATTGTAAAACACATCTCTCTTTAATTTACAGATGAGAAACAAAGTCTGTTGCACTCAATGCTTTGCATTTGAGTCCGCAGGTCATATATTGTCAGGTTGAGTTAATTAAATGTGACTCTTTTAGTTGGAATGATGTATTTGACGATTTTCATCATAACTTCTAACCAAACAGTGGAGATGTTATTGTATCAGTTATGTTCTGACTTGGTGTGAGAAATTTTCTTGGATCATGTATTTGCTGACAGTCTTGTATAATGTGATTTGAGGATTATGTCTACAATTATGAGAATTGTTAGTATGAAGCTCTTTACGAAAAATATTGCTTTAAAAATTAAGCTTTAGTTTTTCAGATTAAAAATATGTATTCATAACTTTTAAGTGCTTTCGATGACTTTGAGGAGAAAATGTGAATGCTGACAAATATCTTGTAACTTTGCTTTGCCTCTCTGAGGCAGCATAGAACAAACTCTTAAGGAGGAAAACAAGAAATTTTCTTATTGATGTTTAGAATTTTGATACTTCCAGTGTCTCTGAGCTGGGATATATACTTCAATTAGATTGAGGAATCTGTACATGTGCTTTAGAATTGCAGTCATTTCTTCATGGAAATTCTTATTAAGTATTGGTAGTTTTGACTCATTGAAATTTCAAAGCAGATCTCTGTAGGCTTGACCAAAGAATTTGACTTCCTACTTTCTGTAAGGATCCTACTAGAAACAAAAGATGTTTGACCAATCCTGTTGAATTAAATAATGCAGCAATTAATATTGAGCCATTAGTCAATACATTTATTTATAATTAGACATTCTCTCTAATTTTTGTACTCCGAGTTTTATGAAACATTGAAGTCAAGCAAAGATAAATTTCTTACATAGAAAGTATCTGGAATGATACTTCAGCATTCACTTAAATCAGAACCTAAACCACAGTGAGCAGTGTTGAATGGGAAATCAATATGTTATGATCCTGTTATGTATATTTTTCTAATCCTTATCACTTGATAATCAGGTTTTTTACTTAAAAGCAATTCTGTATGATGCTAAAATTCCTGTCCAGACTGATAATAGTTGAATGGAGAAATTTCTCAAATGGCCAGTGTAAATAACTAAAGGGCAAGATTTTGCATTTTAAGCATTTACTGTCTCAAAAAATTAAAATGAGTACAGATAAATAGTGCAGTGAAACTTTGCATGTTTCATATGATCTTCAACTTTTGTGATGGCACCAGGATTAGTGAGGCTCAATTTCCAACATGCTCCTTCAGTGAATAATAAACAAGGTTTATTATTTAAAAAAGAACAAAGAATTGCAGATGCTGGAAATCTGAAACAAAAACAAATTGCTGGAGAAACTCAGCAGGTCTGGCAGCATCTGTGGAGAAAAAGCGGAGTCAACATTTTGGATCCAGTGATCCTCTTCCTCATCTGGTTGTTGATCGTGTCACCTGTTTTTTTTTTTAAATGATAGCTGGCTAATTCTAGCTTTCCAAAAGGTTCCTGCATAGTGCTGTATGATTTGTGTGAATTTAACTTTTGGATGTTAACATTTATGCATGTTAAGATATTTACTGAAGTTGCAGGTTGATGCTTTCAATTGAAATAATATTCTTTGCCAATTAAAATGTTCTGCGGCCTTTTTTTGAATAGATTTTTAAAAAATATTTAATAATAAAGTAAGATATTGTCATGATGCAGCTGATGTGACTACTGGTTAAATTATATCTCAATGAAATCTGGCTTGATAGATCATTTAAAAATTATGATGTAATCTTTTGAAAGTTTGAAACATAAGCAGACAAGACTGCAGAATTGGTTTCAGCATAAAGATTATTACAGAAAAGACGTAAAAATAATATACATACCAACCTATCTACATAAAACACAAAGATTTCAGAACATATGGTAAAATAAAATTCTAGTATCATAAAGAACTGTGGGGGATGGAGTTCTGCTGAAGAGTTATTGGACTGGAAGGGTTAACTCTGCTTTCTTCCCACAGATGCTGCTAGACCCACTGAGTTTCTCCAGCAATTTCTACTCGCTAATAATTACCAGTTCACTGAAGTCCAGAGAAATCTTACTTTCTCGTCCAGTACGCAGATTTATTTTAACTACTTTTCAATTCCTGGCCCGTGAGCTGTGAAGACCTTTTTCTTTGAATATTCACAGAACTGAGACCTTAGGTTTCTTTTTTTCAGTCTTTTAAATTATCTGCAGAGTTCTAACAAAGCACATCTGGTCTAGAAGTTGGCATAAGTGACAACCTTTCCACTGAGGTAACTTGTTTCTTTATCTTGTATGTGCAATCTCCTTTGTTAGGAAAGACAGTACTTGCTACTGATCACGGTGAAGTTTCCCTTGAACTGATTTTAAAAGCTTTTGAATTCACTTTTTAAAAAAAACTTCATTTTCTTAAACCATTAGCTGTAGCAGGTCTAAATTTTCTGCTGGAAATAACCATAGTATAAACAAACCTCCATTAAATCTCTCTGACACACAGTGGTTTTAAGTGATAGCTCTGGAAAGGCTGACCAATTTAAAAAAAGACTGACATCCGTATGCCACTAGTTCAAAAGCCAAATTCCTAAAATATTAAAATAGATAAACGCGACACCTTTTGTTGCAGTTTCATTTTCATTTTAAAAAAGCATACTTCTAGACTTACAAATTATTTTAATGTGTTTATATTATAATTTATCTGTCTTTCAGTGCTGCAGAAGTTATATTAATTTGCTCATTGTGGTTAAAAAGTTCAGTACATTGAATTGATATTTTGTTGCATTATTTTATTGGGCACGTGTCCCGTTCTGGTCGCGCAGTTATAGGAAGGACGTTGTTAACCTGGAGAGGGTTCAAAAGAGATTTACCAGGTTGTGCTGGGTGTGGAAGGTTTGAGTTATAAAGGGCTGGATAGGCTGGGACTTTTATTTTACTGGAGCGTAGGTTGAGAGGTGACCTTACAGAAGTTTGTAAAATAATGAGGGGTATAGATAGGGTTAATGGCAAATGCCTTTTCCCTAGGATCGAGTTCTGTTGTGGGTAAATTGTTGGACGTGATTATAAAAGATCGGATTTATGGATATTTAGAGAGGGAAAAATTGATTAGGGATGGTCAGCATGGTTCTGTGCGAGGAAAATTGTGTCCCACAAACTTGATTGAGTTTTCTGAGGAAGTAACAAAAAAATTCATGTTGGCAGAGTGGTAGACGTTGTTTATTTGGATTTTAGTACAGCCTTTGACAAGGTTCCACATGGTAGACTAATTAGTAAAGTCCGGTCACATGGGATTTAGGGTGAGCTTGCCAATTGGATACATAATTGGATTAACAGCAGGAGACAGTAAAGGCGGAGGGTTGCTTTTTGGATTGGAGGCCTGTGACCAATGGTGTTGCACAGGGATCTGTTCTGGGTCCTCTCTCTTGTTTGTCATTTACATAAATGATTTGGATGAGGATATAGATGGCATGGTTAGTAAGTTTGTGGACGACACCAAAATTGGTGTGATAGTAGATAGTGAAAAAGGTTTTCTAAGATTACAGAGGGACCTTGAACAAATGGGTCAAGGGGCTGAAAAATGGCAGATGGAGTTCAATCTGGATAATTGTGAGGAATTGCATTTTGGTACAACAAGCAAGGGTAGAGCTTGTATAGTTAATGGTAGGGCCTTGGCTAGTGTTTTAGAAGAGAAGGACCTGGAGGTTCAGGTACATAATTCTTTGAAGTTGGTGTCAAGTATAGACCGGCTGGTTAAAAAGGCATTTGACATGCTTGCCTTCATTGCGCAGTCCTTTTATGTACAGGAGTCGGGAAGTCATGTTGAAGTTGTATAGGACATTGGTGAGGCCTCTTCTGGAATACTGTATACAGGTCTGGTCGCCCAGTTGTAGGAAGCATATTATCAAGCTGGAGAGGGTTCAGAAGAGATGTACCAGGATGTTGCCGGGTATGGAAGGTTTGAGTTATGAGGAAAGGCTGGATAGACTGGGACTTTCTTCACTGGAGTGTAGGAGGTTAAGAGTTTATAAAGTAATGAAAGGAATAGATGGAGTTAATGGCAGTTGTCTTTTCCCCAAGATGGGGGATTTCAAGACCAGGAGGCACTTTTTTAAAGTGAGAGGAAAGAGCTTTAAAAAAGACATGGGCAAATTTTTTACACAGAGGGTGGTTTGCGTGTGGAATGAACTTCCTGAGGAAGTGGTGGATGTGGATACAATTGCAGTATCTAAAAGCCATTTGGGGTAAGTACATGAATAGAAAAGGTTTGGAGGGATACAGGCTAGGAGCAGACAGGTGGGCTAGTTTAGTTTGGGATCATATTCGGCATGGACTGGTTGGACTGAAGGGTCCGTTTCCATGCTGCATGACTCTGTAGGTTTGAATAATAATTTGACCCATACTACTTGTATGGCCCAAGCAAACATATATGCATATGAGAATTTTCGGTGTTTGGGAATATCTGTTCTAAAATTCCCTCCACTTAAAACTGTTAATTAATTTGCAGGTAACATATTATTTTATGTATTTTTTGAAATGTCAAAGGATGTGTAATTGATTTGCCATCCAGATTTAAAGCTGCGATTTTTTGATTTACTTCTTTACTGGAACCAATTTCAATGTAAAGTTATCTCCTCCTCTTTCTTCATCCTATTCCCAATCATAATGATTGGTGTGCTATTAAGAAACCCCCATTTCCTTTTGTGAGGCCATTCCTGGACAGTTGCATTCTGATCTTGTATGGGGTTTAACTGGGAATAATATAACTTCTTAGTGTGCAATATTTAATGGGATCCATAAACTGCAAAAAAAATTGTTAGCTCTAAGTGTAGTACAAATTTTTGTCCACACTGAAGTAATTTCAAATTTTAACCAGTAAACACCTCTGGTAATAGCTTGTTTAAATTGTTTATTTCAAACTAATGGATAATTTCTAAGTTGTATTCAGAGAAAGCTGAGGTTTTAAACCCTTATCTTCTGTGATTTTGCAGTGCAGCCAATGTTTCTTGTTTTCTATTTAGTCCTTAAAATATGTCACTTCATTGTGGATTTACAGAACATTTTTTCAAAACTTGGGATATTGTCTTGATAAAATGTGTCTATGACCACAAGCTTGCCTCCAGATGCATTCTGCTGGTAGGTCCTTTCAATTTATCATTGAAGTTTATTGATACTCTAGGAAGCTAAGCCGAGTTAAATTCTATTAGCTTTTTTTAATCCTTTCTCTATCCCTTGAGAAGATAACCTTCTAAAAGTTCTTGGCAGTAATATTTTTTTCTTGAAATGAGTCCGAGGTTTAATAGGAGCAGTAGTATCATGTGGACTATCTCTGTGACAATGCTGAATCTGAAAGTGACGGTAGTTCTTCACACAGTTACATTTGTGCAATTGCTCCAACTCTCTGCCTTTGCTCTTTTCAAATGTCTAAAGTTGTTCACACTGGTTCCTCTTTTTGCTCATTATTGCTTACTGAAAATTTGTACAAATCATGCACTTCAAATGCATCGATGTTTAAAACCCTTTTCCTGAATGATTGATTGTAATGTAAATACACCCAGATTAAGCCAAGGCTTTTGAATAAGGCTAAGAACTTCCACTAGAAAGGTGAATGAAAAGGCATGAGTTAATTTAATATGTGAGTTAAATGCAGTATTGAAATCTATTTTTCAATTTGAATTTGATTTTAATGCCTAATTTTGAATGTATACTTGTATGCTTTGTTTGACTTTAAATAGCTTCAGACATCGGGTTACTTAAGGAAATTGAATTATAAGTCGATATTGCTATCTTCAGTTTTAAATGTTAGAAAAATTAATTGTGATCCAATGAATGAGTTTGTGGAAAGCAATTTCACACAGTCAGAAGTTTTAATATGCAGATATGACATTCTATGAAAGCTCTTGTTGCTATAACAAAGGTTTCTGAAGAAAGTATCTGATTAGGAAAGTAAGTTGGCAATTTGAATATAATCATCCTGTTTTGTATTTAATTGAAGGCAACATGAAACTGTTATACCAAATGAGCTTCCATTGGTTCAGGAAGTCACTACAACTCTTCGAGAATGGTCAAGTATATGGCGCCAGTTGTATGTTGTGAGTGAACTACAATATGCTAAGAAGTTTTCTCCACACTTCTATGTTTTAAGCAGTTTATTGTATTTAACATCATTCGGTTTTCTGCAGAAATGTTGTAACTCCATGAAGCTCCATAATGAGGACTACTGTCTTTGTATTTGACATTAGTTAGTGCTCCTAAATTTCATTCACATGAACTAGAGATCAAACACTTTTTCTTGAAATTTCTGGTGTTGTTTTTCCTTTATATTTTCCTCCTTACCTCAATTTGAGCACAGTTGAATGAAGTATTATGATTGTTTTCAAAATGCAACCGTTCCTAATCTTGGCGTGGGCAAATCTAATCAAGCCAATTACTGCCCCATTAATCTACTCTCATTCATCACCAAAGTAATGGAGGGCATTGTCAATAGTCCTGTGGAGTAACACTTGCTGATCCCCTTCACTGATGCTTAGTTTGAGTTCTGTTAGGGCTTCTAGGCATGCAGCCTCATTACAGAATTAGATCAAACGTAGGCAAAATGTGCTACAATTAGGGGAGGTAGTTGAGGTGGTGGCAGAGAGCTGTACTGGTTTCAGGAATATCTAGCACACGAAGATAGTGTTGGATGTAAATCTACTCAGCTTCTGTAGACTGTTGCAGGAGTTTGAGTTTATTGACTTAGTCTCAGCTGCTACAGCAAGGACGTTCACCTCCCTCAAGGTCAAGAGTGCACAATGTTTAACATAATTTGCAACTCCTCATACCAAAGCAATCCATGTTCATGTGTGCTAAGATCTGGATGAAATTCAACCAATCAACTTTGGTTTGATATGCAATAAGTAACATTTACCTCACTCAAGTCATGTATGACCATTTACAATGAATAAGAATTTAAGCACCTTCTTTGATGTTCAACATCACCAAGTCCTCTACTGTTAACTTCATTGAACAGAAACTGAACTAGGACAAGCTGTAGAAATACTCTGACTTCAAGAACAGGCCAGAGGCTGTAAATTCTGGGGCAATGAACTCCCCACCTGACTTCTCAAAAACTGTTCACTCTCTGCACTTCAGAAAGTGTGAACATCATCCTTTTGCCTGGATGAGGGTTGCTCCAAAAATGTTCAATAAGCTTGACACCAATCAGGACCAAGTAACCTGCTTAATTGCAATCCCATCTATCACCTTAACCTTTCACTGTCCACTGCTGATGTACAGTGGTAGTAGTCCATGCTATACAGAGAAGCTCTAAAACAACTAACCATAAGTCCTTTGACATCAACTTCCAACCTCTGATCTCTACCTACTAAAACGTAAAGGCAGCAGGCATATGGAATGCCACCACTAACCACTTTCCTTCCATGCCACACAGAATCTCAAGTGCTCTGGGACAGAATGAGGCCATTTGGCCCAGCATGCCTGCATGGTTCATTGAGTGAGCATCATTACCCAGTGCTAGTTTCCTGCTTTTGCCCTTATACCTATGCAGATTATTTTATCGAAAATAGTCATCTAATGCACTCTCTGTAATGCCTCAATTTAACCTACCTCCACCTTCATGCAGTGCATTCCATACTCTAACTACTTGTTGAGAGAAATGTTTTGCTTAATTTCATCTTCACTGTTTTGCACATCACTTTAAATCTATGCTATCTTGGTCTTTTATATGCCAGAACAGTTTCTCCCTATCTAATCTATCCATGCTGTTCATGATCTTGAAGCCTCTATTATATCTTCTCCCAGCTGCCTTCTCTCCCAAATTCAATGTGTTCACAAATTAAGTTCCTCATCCTGTAACTGTTCATGTAAACTGCACATGCACTTTCTCCAATGCATTCAAATTCTTTATGTAATATGATATCTAGTATTTTAAACAATACTTCCATTGAAGTCTTACAAATGTCTTAAACAAGGTCACATCACCTCCTTGCTCTGTACCCTATGTCCTGGTTGTTAAAACCAAGGACACTGTTTGCTTTACTTACTGTACTATATCTGTCCTCTCTATAACCAGTGTGCATATACACCCAGATCCCTCTGCTCCGGGGCTCCATTTAGAATTTTACCCCCTATTTTGTATTGTCATTCAGTGTTCTTCCACACTTGGATTTCTCTGGGTCAAAATACTGGAACTTCATTCCAAAGAGCAGTTTGGATATGCCTGTTACAGTTGGAAAATCCAATTGACAGCTCACTGTAAACTTCCCAAGAAAATTAGGGATGGACAACTAATGCTGGCCTTACCAGCGATGTCTGTCTGCACTCATGAATGAGACTTAAAATGTATGGAAAAATATTGATCTAGCATTGAGCGTAAGTTAATGTTTCTTGAATGCTTATGTGTCTAACTTGTCCTTTTATTCTTGAATTTTGAGTATTGTTTTGTTTCCTTGTTCCTTGATTTTTTTTTTTCCATTGTGCTCAAGGACTTAAAGACCCAAAACAATGTGTGTTACACAAGCACCATAATAGAAGTTTCACACAGTATGCAAGGATGTAAAGAGAATTTTTGACCACACTGCTTGGAAGTTTATTCTGAATCAACCATTCTTGGAAAATCTTTCTATCCTGTTTCCCTATAGGTTGGATCCTTGATTGAATGGAAGACTTAGAGTTATTTGGATAATTGCCTAGTTAAAAGAATGTCATTTTTGTGTGGGTTTAAAGTAATTTCTAGAAACTGGGGTAGGTCAGATAGATTGCAATTATCATTTCTGGTCCTGTATGATTTGTAGTTGCAATTTTACAGTACACGATAAATTTATTTTCACATTCTGCACTGAATTCATGATACTGCTTTTGCTTTGGGTGTGGCTGCTTGCTAGATAACTTACATATGTAACTATTATTTCCTTTATCACAATCTATTTTTCAAAACTAGATACTGGTACAAAATACCTCTTAGTTATATATAATGCAGGAACAATCTATTTTGAAGTGTATCAAAATGCAATCAATTGGATGGCAGCTGTGAATCCTAGTAATATGCTGTATAGCATGAAAAAAAATGACAGGGGATGGTTTTTATCACATGCATCTTGTTGTATTGAAACTTTTTCATGGAATACTATGCGTACAGTCATAGTCATACAGCACAGAAAGAATGTTTGGTCCAACTCATTCGTGCTGACCAGAATCGTAAATTAATCTAATCCCATTTGAGAGCATTTGACCTGTATCTCTCTAAACCCTTCTTATTAATATACCCATCCAGATGCCTTTTAAATGTTGTAATTTTACCAGCCTCCACCACTTCCTCTGGCAGCTGTTTCCATACGTGCAGCACCCTCTGTGAAAAATTTGCCCCTGAGGTGCCTTTTAAATTTTTCTCCTCTCACTTTAAACCTATGCCTTCTAGTTTTGGACTCCCCTACTGTGGGACAAAGACCTTGGCTATTCATCCTATCCATGCCCCTAATGATTTTATAAACCTCCATAAGGTCACCCCTCAAACTCTGATGTTCCAGGGAAAATAGCCCCAGCTTATTCAGCCTGAGATAACCTTTTTCACTGTCCACTGCACCACCAATTTTGGTGTCATCTGCAAACTTACTAACCATTCCTGCCAAATTCACATCCAAATCATTTATATAAATGTCAAAAAGCAGTTGATCCAGTCCCAATCCTTGCGACATACTGCTGGTGACAGGCTGCAGAGAAACAACCCTCTACCACCACCCTCTGTCTCCTACCTTCATGTGGAGGTACCAGTGTTGGACTGGGGTGGACAAGGTCAAAAATCACGCGACACTAGGTTATAGTCCAATAAGTTTAATTTAAAACACAGCTTTTGGAGCCCTGTTCCTCCTTCAGGTGTTAAGAAGGAGCGAGACTCCGAAAGCTTGTGATTTTAAACAAATCTGTTGGACTATAACCTGGTGTTGTGTGATTTTTGACCTTGTCCTATCTTCAAGCAAATATTGTATTCAATTGGCCGGCTCCGCCTGGACCCATGTGATCTAATCTTACTAACCATTCTACCATGTGGAACCTTGTCAAATGCCTTCCTAAGGTCCACGTAGACAACGTCCACTCCTCTGCCTTCATCAATCTTTGTCACTTCTTCACAAAACTCAATCCAGTCAGTAAGACATGATCACCCATGCACAAAGCCATGTTAAATGTGCCTAATTGTTCCTTGCCTTTCCAAATACATACAGATCCTGTCCCTCAGAATACCCTCAAATAACTTATCCACCACTGACATCAGGCTCATCGGTCTATAGTTCTCTGCCTTTTCCTTATGGCCTTTCTTAAATAATGACACCATATTAGCCAACCTCCAGTCTTCTGGCATCTTACTCATGGCAATTGATCATACAAATATCTCAGTCGGGGCCCAGCAATTGCTTCCTAGCTTCCCACAAAGTTCTGGGATACGGCTGATCAGGTCCCAGGGATTTATCCGCCACCTCCTCTGTAATATGGACACTTTTCAAGATATCACTATTTATTTCTCCAGGTTCTCTAGCTTCCATATCCTTCTCCAGAGTAAATACTGACACATATACTCACTTAATATCTGCGGTTACACGTGTGTCACATTTTACTGTCATGGTTGGAAGAAAATCCGGAAAATAGTACAGCACATAAGGAGGCCCTTTGGTTCATTCAGTCCTGCTAGCTCCCTCAAAATGGAATTTAGTCATCCTGCTCCTCTGTTCTTTCAATATTCCTGCAATATTTATCCACTTTTCCTTTGAATCTGTTACTGTTTCCCTGCTATTGATTTTATTTCCACCAACCTAATAGCAGTCCTAACCTCTTGAGCATAAAAAGGCCTTTTCTCAAGTCACCACTAGTTGTTTGTAAATTTCCTTAAGTATTTACCTCTGATTCATGCTACTTCAGACATTTGAAATTAGTTTATTTTATCTAAATCTTCCATGATTTTAAACACCATTTCCAATTTCTGCTTATGCTTTATGGAGAACAATCCCAGCTACTCTAGCTTATCCATGTAGTTGGACCTCTTGTGTCTCTTTTATTCCTACAGCAAAAGTGATAAATGCCTTCTGCACCCTCTGAAGCTTACAACTTACAACTTCAGCTGGTGCTGAACAAATGCTTCCTATGGTTTTAGCATAACTGGCCAGCTTTTGTGTTCTATTGCCTCTGTTTTTATAAAAACAAAGACGCTATATGCTTTATTAATCGCTCATCGCCTTCAAAGATTTGTACACAGACCCCTTCATATCTCTGTGCATTCTTCCTGCCAAAGTGCATTAGTTCGCACTCTTCTACACATTGGAGTTCATCTGGTATGTGTTGTGCATTCCATGAGCCTGACTATAGCTAGATCTTCTGGTCAGCATTGATGCTGTGAGCCTTGGTGCTGCTCACAAAGACTTCTGTGACCAGATCTCTTTCTGATTTTTCAGCCAGGACTTCAAATCCCTCAATGGTCAAAGAGAGGTGACACCCCTCTTTTTAGAACATGAGTTGCCATTATTCGGGTAGCTCTTTAAAAGTCCCAGGTTTTTGGGTGAGTTGGTGGATGGCTGGGCAGGTAGGTGAGTGAGCAACTTTTTTTTTTACCCTGTTTAAGTATTCAGGTAAATCCCATATTTCTGTCCCAAGTCTCTGAGACTGAGTTTCCATGATCACAAATGCCTGATCCCACTTCGTAGTTGTACTTGCAACTGACCAAATTTATTACCTACACTTTGTGCAAATACACATGCGCCCAAATGTAATTTTAAATTTCTGTGTATTTTCTTTGTTTGCATCTAACATCATTATTTTAATTATCTTTCCTAGTCTTCTGTGCTGCTTGCTTTTTTAAATACTATATACAAATATTGTTGAATTATTTTAATCCTTCCTTTGCAGCACATGTAAACATTTTTCTCATAGTTCAGAGGTGTTATTACACACCGTAGAGCAGTGGGACTTGAACCTGGCCTCTTAGTTCAGGGCTAGGGACACTACCTCTACGCCACAAGAGCCCTGTAAATCTGCCTCCACATTTTTAAAAAAAAATCACCTATTTTTCTAATCAACTTGTTCAGAGATGTTATTACACATCTCTGGAACAGTTGGGACTTGAACCTAGCCTCTTGGTTCAGGGGTAGGGATACAAGCATTATGCCATACGAGGGCCTAACCCTGCCTACAAGACATTAGTCCTAACTGTATTCAAGTGCAGCAGGTACAAATTGATTTGGTTCCTCCTGCCATAAATTGAACATAATAGTTTGCAAATCTGAAGCTCCCTCCCTCCTTCATGTTCCTCTCGCCATGTTTTAACCTGCCATTTCCTTCTGTGCACTAATCTAGAGATTACTATCCTTTGTCTGCTTTTTGATCTCCTCCCTAAATTCTACATAAAGTACCTTAACCCTTTTCCTTCCTATTTCATTGGATTGAAATAGACCACAACTTCTGGTTCTACCTTTTCCCCCAACATAGTTGTCCTTCAACATGACAGCTACTGTGTAAGTTCCTGCTTGACATTCAAAAGTGTGTAATTTGTAGAACAGGGTTTCGTATTAAACACCTCCAAGCTTCAAGTGATCAATATTCTGTTATTAAGCTTAAGTTGTTAATCAGTAATGTTGAATTTTGTAAAGAATGGTTTTGATAAACAGTGCTTGTTCTCCATATTTAATTTTCTATTCAAATATCTTTTCTTTTAGAATGACAACAAAGAGATGTTCAGCCGAGTTAGACATATGATGTACGATCTTATTGAATGGCGCTCCCAGATTCTTTCTGGAACACTCCCGCAAGATGAGCTGAAGGAATTGAAGCAGAAAGTCACTGCCAAAATAGATTACGGCAACAGGTCTGCGTAATATGATGTGTCCCAATAATCTACTCTTCTTATCAGTCTGTTTTAACCCATAAACCCATGAAATATTAATGTTGCTGATTGTTAATTCAGTAATTTAAGCATTAGTTTGTTTATTTTAAATGGAATGCTTATTTTGCTGACCATGTTTTATTATGTGGGTTAGTTGAAGTGCATTAAAATCCAACAGCAATGGTATGTGTTCAGGTACATTTTGGTAGTTTAAAGAGTGATATGTCTACTATTCTGTTGTACATTCCAATTGACAAAAGGCTGAATGTAGGAATTTAGGTTGTGAATTTGCTTACATAATTAAGAATAAGCTGTCAAATGTAACTTTTGAGAAATGGGTATCAGCTAATTGTTCTCAATTTGGGTGCTTTTGTACTTGACACTATCCTGTGCTCCTTTTAACCTGGTGTCAACAGAACTTTTGACATTTATTTTGCTTGCTGTATCAAAGAAGAGTAATTATTGTTCTTTATGCTCTTGGTTTTACCTTACTCATCTTTTTAGAGCTCTGAGTGCAAATATCAGCATTTAGATTGCCTATTTTCATTTTGGAAATGTTGACCTAATCATTGATTACAAGTTGCTTTTATTGTTTGGGCAATGAGGTATAAAATTTTGACTGAAAATTATATTAGTAATCATTGATGTTAGGCTTTACCTCTCACTTAATCATAGCATTAATAGTGTACATATTTCAGTTTCAAACTGTATGTAAATCTGTGCATTAGTTGCTTATCTTCATAGCCTTGATCAGCTCGAATGCTCTTTTCTTCCAAAATGTATATGCAAATTTCTTTTCATTTTAAAACTATTTTTAAAGTGCTCATGTCCCAATAGTATGATGACCTTCAGAAATTTGGAAATAACAGATGAATAATTTCGTGACAATAGTGACTTCCAAGGCAAAACTGCATAATAGAGTGCTTTGTAGCATAAATTTGCATGGAAGATTCTGTGACAGTGCTGCAAATGTGATTTCACAATTGTTCGCATTAGTCTTTTTATGGGCCACAGGTGGACAACCATGGCATTTATAGAATTAAACCAAAAATTACCTTTCACATTGGTTAATTGGTAAAATTAATGAGTTCTCAATATTAGCATAGAGGGGTAAATATTAATGTTGTTTGCTGTAGTAAGGCCAATTAAATAACAAATTCTTGTGTTAATTATATCAGTCATATTTGCAGCAAAGCACTTGTGAAGTTCTTTCCATGTTCTTTACAAATACTAATTTTGTTCAGGCTCTCCAAAGGAACATCCGGATTCATTTCACCTGAATAGAAAGTACTCATTGATGACAAGACTGTTATTGTATACTTTTTTAATATATTTGACTGTATTTATGACACCATTGATGATCAAGGCAAAAGGTTGTCACATTGCTGGTTGTAAAGCAATATGTGTATATATGATGTGTACAGCTATTTGTGTGCAAGTATACAGAAGGCTCACAAAACTTTGACAAATTAGTATTAACCATCCATCCCATGCTGTCTCTTCCACCTCCACCCAAATTACTTCAGCCATGGTAGCTACTGCAATGTTTAATTGTGCTATTTCATTAAGCTTGAGGAACAGATTCTAATTTTTCTTTATACACTTTAGGGACATACAGAGTTACTACTGAGTTCAAGAAATTAAATCCATAATCTCTGCTTCATTTTTCTGTGCTCTTTTCTTTGCTTGTTTAGTTTTTCTTTCAGTCAGCGCCCCACCCCCATCTAGGCACATTTTTGTTTTGTATTCCTTCTTATCCTGTCTCCATTCTCTTACGCCCTGGAATCACGGAATCAAAATGTTATGGTGCAGGAGTAGGCCATTCAGCTCATCCTATCTGCACTGCTTCTCAGAGTAAGCATTAAGACTTTAGTGCTGTTCTCTTCGCATTTCCCTGTAACCCTTACTAGTTCTGCCATTTCAGTCTGTAGAATTGTTCACCCTGTGATATGCTGTTCTTATCTACCCTGCCCCTTCTTCAAAACTTATTTCATCTCTCACTTCTTTCCAGTTCTGATGAAAGGTCACAGGCAGTGTCTTGTATCAAACTCTTTCTTCCACCATTTTTGTCACTGCTACCATTAATTATTTGCGACCATACTCCAGCCCTCCATGCACTTCAGGTTTGTAGGTGTGGTGTAGCATATGTAAGCAAAACCTTTTGTGATGAAATTAGTATCTTTATTGCAATAGTACACTTTTAAAATAGAGTATTGCTAAGTATTCGTTCACTAAAGATGACAACAGAATTGAAATTTCTGATTCTGGAAAAAGCTACATAAATCTGTATGTAAACATGTGAAATAGGAGCAGAAGTGAACCATCCTTCCCTTTAGCATGCTCCGCCATTCAGTAAGATCATGGCTAATCTGTCTGTCTTTCAAATTCCACATTCCCATCTACCCCCAAAACCTTAGATTCTTATTAGACTAGGGAATCCATCTGTGTGCCTGAGAAATATTAATGCCCCCACCATGTTAAACATGAAGTTCCAAAGTTGCAAAACCATCAGAGAAAAAAATTTGCTCCTCATCTCTGTTTGAAATGGGTGACTCCAAATTTTGACATAGTGCTGCTTTGTTCTAGACTCATCCATAAGTGGAAACATCTTTTCCTGTGTCATGATTCTCATGGATAGTGTACTGGAAATCAAGCTCCACTATTCCTGGAGTCATCACAAATGTGAAAATTTGACTAAACCACTAAATTGCTCCAATTCTGTGCAACCTATCCAATTCAGGTTAAAAGAGTATGCACACCATATTTTTTCCATTTCCAGAAAATAGCTGCTGTAATCATACTGTGTTTAGTGAATGACAAGAAGTAAGCAAGTTGGATTGTCATCTATATTCATATAACTTGAACTCTATTCCTTTCAAAGATTCCCATTCAAGCATTTAATTGCCAGAGATACAACTTTGAATATTGAGTGTTTCTTTTAGTTTGTTTTGATTCTTTCTGACTCTGCTGATGATACGAGGTTGTATATATACCACTTCTCTCTCATTCGCTGCTTGACAATTTGTCCTTTCATTGTCTTTGGAGTTGCCCTTCCTTTTTTACCTTTCAACAGGGGATTTGCAGACAGAGCAACTCTGAGGAAAGGTGAGGGAGAGTAGCCGAATAATCTTTTGCTACTTTACACACAGGGAGACAAAGAGAAATTGATATTTTTTCTTTGCAGGCTAGATGTTTTTTGCTATATTGCCCACACATAAAGCTTTATCCTACTGCCAGGAACCAATCAAGTGGTTGTTACTATGCTGAAAAGTCTGAACCCACAATAACTGGTACTAGTTGAAAAGCCAATCAAGAGAGTTCTCTGGACAGAATTGCCCTGAACCTGAAGAGTGTCAGTTTGTTTGGAATTCTCTCACTGCTCCAATATGGGCAACATTGTATTTATGATGCACAAGGTGTTTCAGTAACTTATTAAAATTGCAAACAACTTTTTACACTGTTTACTTGGTTTTATAGAAAGATCTTCCTGTTTTTAGTCCTCAGGCCAAAAAATTAAAAGGGATCTTTACACCACATGACCTTGTCAAGGCCATTCAGGATGTTAAACAGTCCAATCATGCCACCTCTCCTCAATTCCAGTGGAAATGTGCTCAGCATGTTCAGTCTATCCTCAAAGACAACCCACTAATTTCAGTTATCAATCAAGTAAATTGTCTCTGAATGCTTCCAATGCAGTTACATCCTTAACCAAGGTGATCAAAGCTGCACACAGTATTCAAGATCTGGTCCCATCAATGCCCTGTATAATGGAAGCATATCATCCATCTGTTGTTAATGTTTCAAGTCCACTGATCTGGGGCGGCATGGTGGCTCAGTGGTTAGCACTGCTGTCTCACAACACCAGAGACGCGAGCTGAATTCTGGCCTTGAGCGACTGTCTTGTGGAGTTTGCATATTCTCTCCGTGTCTGTGGGTTTCCTCCCACAGTCCAAAGATGTGCAGGTCAATTGGGTTGGCCATGCTAAATTCAGTGTCCAGGGATGTGCAGGCTAGGTGGACTGACCATGGGAAATGCCGGTTTACAGAGTAGGGTGGGGGTGGGACACTCTTCGGAGGGTCGTCTGAACTTGATGGGCCAAATGGTCTGCATCCACTCTAGGAAATCTATGATTCTATGACCTTTGTCCTCACGAAGGATATCGAAGCGTTAACTCTATTTTTCTCTCTACAGATGTTGCCAGAACTGCCGAGTTTCTCCAATAACTTTGTTTTTGTTTCAGATTTCCAATGTCTACAGTTCTGAGGAAGGGTCACCGGACCCGAAACGTTAACTCTTTTTTTTTCCTTCACAGATGCTGCCAGACCTGCTGAACTTTTCCAGCAACTTTGTTTTTGCTTCTGATTTACAGCATCTACAGTTCTTAGCTTGCATGATTATGTGTTGTACATCCATACTAATTTTTTGGTGTTCCTGCATTAAAATACCTAAATCTCTTTATATTTTCGTATTTCTGTTGTTACTCTTCATACATTTTCATTCTCTTGTCACATTTTCCCATATTATATTTCCATCTGCCAGAATTTTTTGTCCGCTCAATCAACCTATCAATATTATGTATTATTTTGTTTCTCTGTTTTTATTTTTATGGATGGTTGGAATTTGTTTATGAACATTTGATCCTTTGGTTCTGTAATCTGAAGTTTATTTCTTCAGCCTTGTATTCCTTTCCCAGTCCCTGTTGCTGCGCACAAAGGGTTTGAGGACAGCATATGTTGGTGGTAAAGGATCTTTATGGGCTGAAGTTGGTTAAGTTTTAATGCCTTGAATCTCTCCAATCCCTAAAGAGAGAGAGTATACATTTTTGATTAGAAATTATAGGAGTGCAAATTTTATCTGCTATCCGTTTATCAGATGTTCAGGTTATTACTGAAACCATAGAATTTTGCAGCACATAAACAGGTTGTTCCACCCAAGTGGTCTATGTTAGTGTATATGCTCCATGTGGCGCCTTATTTCATCTCCCCCTATCAACATAACTCCTAAATTGATCAGTCACAATTTTTCCCTTTGGAAGCGGACTGACTGTTCCCAATAATATTGAGATTTTTTTAAGCGTGCAACTGACGGATAGTTTTCTGCCTCTTTCCACTTTCCGTACAAGGTTGAGTTTGCTATTTTCTAGTCTGATAAAACCTTTCCTGAATCAAAGGATTAAAACATAGAACAGTACAGCACAGTACACACCCTTTGGCCCACGATGTTGTGCTGACCCATTATTCTACTAAGATCAAACTACACTGCATACCCTACATTTTACTACCCTCCATGTGCCTATCCAAGAGTCGCTTAAAAGTCTCTAAAGTATCTGACTCCACTACCACTGCCGGCAGCGCATTCCACACTCCCACCACTCTGTGTAAAGAACCTACCTCTGACATCTCCCCTATACCTTCCTCCAATCACCTTAAAATTATGCCCCCGTGTAATAGTCATTTCCACCCTGGGAGAAAGTCTCTGAGTATCCACTCTATCTAAACCTCTCATCATCTTGTACACCTCTATCAAGTTGCCTCTCATCCGTCTTCACTCCAATGAAAAAAGCCGTAGCTCCCTCAACCTTTCCTCAAGACCTGCCCTCCAGTCCAGGCAGCATCCTGGTAAATCTCCTCTGCACCCTTTCTTGGAATCTTGGAAAATCAACACCAATGCATCTAGTAGGTCATTAGCCATTCTATTCCAACTCTAGAATGAAATCCATTAAGGTCAATAGACTTGTCAGCCTGCAGATTCTTCAGTTTGCTTAGTACTGTTTCTCTTATAATTGAAACTTCACTAAGTTCCTCTCTCCATTCCAAGTCCTGATTTATAATAATAATTGGAATGTTCTTGGTAGCCCATACAGTGAAGATAGAAACAAAATATGTATTCATTTCAGCTGCTATTTCCTTATCTACTACTAATTTTCCATTCTCCCTTTCTAGAGGACCAACAAATACTTTAATTAACACTTCCTTTTTAAGAATCTGTACAAACTTTGGCTAGCTATGTTTCCATTCCTAACTAGTTTTCTCTCGTACCCTAAATTCTTCCTCCTGATTAATCCTTCGATTTGTTTTGTCATGTAGTTGAAAATGAGAGGGTGAGATGATAAGCACATTTGAAGATAACACAAAGATTCGCCTGGTGGTCAGCCTAGAGGAAGATGGTCTTGGATTCCAGCAGGATATAGACAAATTGGTCGGTTGAGCAGATAGGTGATAGATGGAATTTAGCCATGATAAGTGTGAGATAATGCTCTTGGAAGAAGTAACAAGCCACAGGAGTACTCAATGAATGGCAGGACACTTAAAAGCTCAGAGGAATCTTGGCTGCAGATTCCTGAACATGGCAGGGAAGGTTAATAGAGTAATTGAGAATAGGACACACCTTTGTCAGTTGAGGCATAGATTATAAGAGCATAGATTATGTTGCAGCATATAGGAGCTTGGTTAGGCCACAGCTGCAGTGTTGTGTAGTTCTGGTCATCACACTAGAGTGGGTGCAGAGGTGATTCACTAGGATGTTGCCTGAGATGGAGCACCTTAACTCTGAAGTAAGACTGGTTAAGGTAGGGTTGTTTTTGTAGCAGAGAAGTTTGAGGGGGTCCTGTAGAGATGTATAAGATTGAGAATCATGGATAAGGTGGATAGAAAGCAGCTATTTCCCTTAGTTGAAGGATTGGTTACAAGGGGGCACACGTTTAAAGTGAAAGGCAGGTTTAAAGGGGACTTGAGGAAACTTTTTTTTTTCCCCACTGTTGTACATGTCTGGGAGGGTCGTTGAGGCAGGCAACCTCACAACCTTTGAAAGGTATTAGGCTGAGTGCTTGAAGGTGTCACAACATTCAAGGCTATGGGCCTAATGCTGGAAAGTGGGACCAGTAGATTTAGTGTATTTTTGATGTCACAGACTTGGTGGGCCAAAGGGCCTCTTCTGTTCTGTGCGGTCAGACTATGAATAATAGGATCATTCATCTGACCTGCCACTCAACTTTGCACAGTTAATGCCTTTTCTTAAAGTAGATGTTTTCCCTTATTTATCAAGTGGTTGGTTCCTCCCTTCAGAATTTTTCTTTTATAGTAGTTATTCTTTGTGCAAGGCTTCAATAGAATCAAAACTTCTGATTCTGAAAAAGCTGCAGAATGTATTGAATGTGTGAAAACATTGTGTTTGTACTGCAAAGGAAATATGTCCCATAAGATCAAAACTCAGTACCCAAATATGACAATAAACTTTTATATATCAAATAAACGAAGTGCTGTTTTACTGGTGCAAAACAAATCAACTCTGGACCAATCAGTACGGTGTGAATGGACAAAACCCATTATACTGTGTTTAAAAATAGGTAGAGGTGAATGGAATGGAGGTGTGCATTTTATGGTCATGCTTATTAAATCACCAGATTTGCTGGTGAGTCCTGAAGAAATATAACATGTTTATTAATTATAATCCAGATTCTTTGAGCATACTTGAGCCTACACCACAATTAAAGTTGCACACAGCCAGTGAATGACCGTGGCAAATGCACAAACCTATTATGCAACAAAAAAAACCTTTGAAAAATTACTGTGGACTTCACTTTTTCCAGCATTATGAAAATCTTTTTGAAATGTATCATACATTCAGTTTGTTACAGATCTGCTCTCATTAATTTCTAGAATCCTTGATCTTGATTTGGTGGTGCGAGATGAAGATGGCAATATTTTAGATCCTGACCAAACTAGCACCATAAGTCTGTTTAGAGCTCACGAAATGGCATTGAAACGGATAGAAGAAAGAATCGAGGAAGAAAAGGTGATTAAAATAAATGGTCAATTGCATTTAGGCCGACATAATTTGTTCACTTCTGAATTTTTGTCTGGTTTTAATGTTTATATGTTGACTATAAAATATGATTATGTGCTAAAGATCTTAGAAATGCTTTGTCAAATTTGCAGTAAATGTTTTGCTGTTGTTCATTAATTTGGTATTGGATTTTGCAGTGTATTTTGAAATATAAGGAAGATGAAGATGATGTATTCTCTGAACCTTTGACATTCTCTTTACAAGTTAAGGTTGTGTAAAGGAAATGTTGCATGATTGATAATTGCTTGAGTTAAATGTAGTTTGTCTAATTTCAGACAAGATCTGACTTTTGTTAGGTAGTGTATCCATGCCCTGCAAAATTTCCTATGAAGTGTCAAGTCTTAATTTCACTCAATTACCATAAGCCACTATGAAAACCTTGATCAATATCACCATTTTATGCTACATTTAAATTTAATTGCAGTCCTGGTTTGAATGTTGTAGTTGGTTTTATTCAGAGCATCTTATTGAGCTATGCACTTCTTGATGCACAAATTGAATAGGCGGCCATAGAAATTGTTTTGTGCAAATTCTTTATAATGCAGTGCAAATTGTATTAAAAATTCTCAATCTGCCCATGCTGGGTGTTTTTCTTTCATCCTAATTTTAGAGTTAAGCTGCAGTTACTTAATATTCCAGTTTGAGAGCCGTACGTTTTGTTCTGTCAGCATATCCTGTTCGATGTTGAAAATGGCTGGCAAGAGACCAATTGGCTTTTACCTGCTAATGTTCGTTCAAGGCAAAAAATGAGCTGATAACAACAGAAGTAATTTCTTTATGGGTACTGCCTATGTTGTGTGAACTATTAATTCAGTGAATAAAGGATTGTAGCTGGGTAACAAATGGATTTGCATTAATCATTTTCAGTTGGCAAGATTCATAATTGATCCTTCTGAGAAAGGGTCACCGGACCTGAAACATTAACTCTGATTTTTCTTCACAGGTGCTGCCAGACCTGCTGAGCTTTTCCAGCAACTTCTGTTTTTGTTCCTGATTTACAGCATCCGCAGTTCTTTTGGTTTTCAGAATTGATTTTCCTGGTTTCCAGTTGAATTCAAGACAGTGGAAAGTATATTTTTCAAATAGTTCTGTAGTAGTTTTGAGGGTATCAAGAGAATTGTGAGTGGCTCTTTGAAGTCCTGAGTGCAAATGTCAAATCATTATTGTTAGCTCATTATTGTTAGTCAAAGCGGGTATCACAGATGTGATATTGCTAAAGCTGGCTGACAAGTGGCAAGTGACATTCATGCCACACAAATGCCAGGCTATGATCATCTCCAATAAGAGACAACCTAACCACCGTCCCTTGACATTCAATGATGTTACCATCACTGAATGCCCCACTATCAACATACTGGGTGTTATCATTGACCAGAGACTCAATTAGACTCACCACATAATCACAATGGCTACAAGAGCGGGCCAGAAGCTATGAATACTGCAGTAAGTAACTCACCACCTGACTCCTCAAAGCCTGTTCACCATCTACAAAGCACAAGACCAGAGTGTGTTGGAATACTCCCCACTTGCCTGAATGAGTTCATCCCCAACAACGCTCAAGAAGCTTGACACCATCCAGGACAAAGCAGCCCGCTTGATTGGCACCACATGCACAAGCATCCACTTCCTCCACCTCTGACACCCAGTAGCAGTAGTATCAGTAGTATCCCACCATTCAGCTATTACCACGGAGAAAGAGAATCCACCCTGCTTCAATGAAGAGTGCAGGAGGTCATGCCAAGAGACGCACCAGGTTTACCTAAGAATGAGTTTTCAACATGGTGAGGCTACAAAACAAGATCAATTGCATGCCAAAAAGCAGATTTCGTAAGTGATAGACAGCTCAGCATTCCCACAACCAACGGATCACATCTAAGCTCTGCAGTGCTGCCACATCCAGTCATGAATGGCAGGTTAAAAATTAATAAATTAAGTGGACGAGGATGTTCCATAAATATTGTTATGGTCAAGGATGTGACAGACCAGCATATCAGTGCGAAAGCATTTGCAGCAATCTTCAGCCAGATGTGCTGAGTGGATTACCCATCACAGCCTCTTCCAGAGGTCTGCAGTATCACAGCTGCCAGCCTTCAGTGACTTGTTATGCACAAACTGTTGCACCCCTAGCTGTTATGATGAGAAATTGGACAGGCTAAGTTTTCCTTGGCACAGAGGAGATTGAGGGGTCCTGATTGAGATGTGTAAAATTTTGAGGGGGAAAAGATAATGGGAGGACAAGAGGAAACTTTATCCTTTGGTGGAGGGATCAATGATGAGTGTGTAGATTTAAAGTAAGGGGCAGAAGGTTAAGAGATGTAAGGAAGAATTCTTACAACCAGTGGGTAGTGGGAATCTGGAGTTCCCTCCCTGTAAGGCTGGTAGAGGCAAAAACTCTCAACATTTAAGAATTTAACTGTGCATTTGTGATGCCAAGGCATACAAGGCTATGGGCCAAGAACTGAAAAATAGGATGAAAATAGTTAGGTGCTTGTTTATGACCATCATGAACACCATGTCAAAGGGCTTTTTCTGTGCTGTGTATCTGTTTGAATCTATGACTCCGTGATGAAAGGGCTGTTGATCAGTATTGGTTAGTACCTGCAATGTAACAACTAAGATTGATGAGCTATCAGCATAAATTTCTATGTAGGTTTGTAAAGTGGTTGTATTAGTATGCATTGGGCAGCAAGGACAGGAATTTTTTTAAATATTTCTTGCTACCAAGTATTCATGAATGGGCAAAAAGAGCGGAGGAGGCATAGCAGTACTTCATAATGCAGTTGATGATGCAGTTCCGAATAAATAGGTCTAGTACTTTTATCTATTTGATTTCAAATAAGGAACAGAAAGAGAGTTGTTTCGTTGTTAGTTCTTTTTCTTCAATAACAGAGCTCCAAACAGTGCAAAAGAAATGGATGAATAAATTTGTTGCGGAGTTCAAGCTTGTGCAACAAAAATGAGTACCAGTATTGGACATGACAAGTATATTACGAAGTGCTTTCTTTTGATTTTATAAAGGAAGCCAAATGAAGGTTGTACTAAAAGGGGAAAGGGAAGTTACGCAAGGCAATTGATAGAGATAGCCGAAAAAATTAGCATTTCTGAAAGTTGATCAGTCACCTGCCCTAAATAGAATGTGTTGTAGATCACTGAAAGAAGCAAGGTAAGAATATTAGAAGTTGTGATTATATTCAATTAATTTTAATTGGATTCAATACTGGAGGTTTGGAGAGTTGCTAAGAAGTAGGCTAGGCAGCCTTACATTGTTCTTGGAAAAGTTAATGCAAATCATTATTGGGGACAAAATAAACTTGGAACAACATGCATTTTTTAAAGGTGAATCATGCTTAACTTGATTGAATTCATTCAGGTAGAAGGTTGGTCAGGTACTCTTGTATCTATCTGGACGTCTGTAGGACAGTGACAATGTACTAGTTTAGTGGTTTGATAAAAAGATGGAAGCCCATGGGATTAAAGGGAAAGTTATAATGTGGCAAAGGATGTTGCTGGATGAATGGTTTAAGGCATGGAGTTGGTATGGCATAGTGTTCTTGAGGCTTAGTTTGGGGGTTTATTCTCACTTAATAACTTTCACTAACCAGCGATACTCTGGTATGAGGAGTAGTGTTATAAAGTTCACTGCCAAATTTGGCAGTGAAATCATAAGGATAGTTGTAATTTTCAGAATGACATAAACAGGATGGCAAAGCGGGTAGAAATGGAAGTTGCATTTGTTGTATCTGGAGAAGTGTGGAATTGTGTATTTTGGGAGGACTAAGAAGGAAACACAGTATATTCTAAGTGGAATGACTTTGACAAATGTACTTGAGTAGAGATGCCTGATGGCCAAACATGCACAACTTAAAGGTTTTGACGGATTTACGAGTATATATAGAATATCAAACCAAAGGGTTCATCCTGGAACTTTATAAATGAGGTTAAGCCTTGACTGGGTTATTTGGACAATTCTGGACACCAGACTTCAGATATGATGTAAGAGCTTTGGAAAGGATTCGGAGGAGATTTACCAGAATGTTATCAGGAATGAGGGACTTCAGTTATGAAAAGAGCTTGGAAAGGATAGCACTGCTGTCCATTTGAAAAAAGAAATAACATGACCTGGTAAAGGTTTTCAAAATGCAGTAAAAATTCTGTTACCTGGCACTACACCAACTGGAATGCTTTATCAACTTGGATGTCTGGTGTCATCCAAGACCAGCTTTATTTGGCTATTGAAGTTTAATAACATGAACCATAATTTGGCAATCTTACCTAATTCATTTTTTTCCCCTCATTTGACAGGTATATCCTAACAGACAGGTCATTATCTTTTGGAAAAAAGGAATCTGTTGGTACTGTTAGTTTGATTAGCAAACAAGTGAAATGGGTGGTTGCTTCCTGAGGCCATGACTGTATAAAACTGATTTGGAGGGGTTTATAATGTTTTACTCCTTCAGGTACCATAAAAGTCTCTGTTCTGCTCATTATACAGCCTTGGCAGTATTCCTTCTGTCAACTGGCATATTTTGATTTACCAACTCAATTCATCTTGTTGCTGGATAACACTGATTTAACTGTAATGAGAGGTTTTGCTGGAATAGTGCAAAAACTGTTCCCTCTGGTGATGACTCAGTGACGAGAGATCTTTAATTTGAAATTGACAGAAGAGTAGAGATGAGGAGAAATCTTTTCACTCTGCTATTATTGAAGTTTTGAATGCTACACTAAAAAGATGGTGAAAACTGATTCCTTCAATAATTGTAAAAGGGCATTGGGCATTTGCCTGAAGAAGAGAAGCTTGCAAAGTTACACTTTTGCAAGCTTTCATGCCATTTCCTGCCTCTTTCCTTTCCGAAGTCCTAGAATGTGTCATTGCTTTCTAAGTCCATTCCCATCTTTCCAGAAACTCTCATGTTTGAATTCCTCCAATCAAGTTATGCATCTGCCAC